TTTTTTTTTTTTTTTTTTTTTTTTTTTTTGGTTTTTCGAGACAGGGTGTCTCTGTATACAGAGCTGTATTCTTAACTTGAGGTCAGTTGCAACTCATCTTCAGGTAAAGCAGGTGTACCCTGCCAGTTACTAGCTTTTGAGCAAATTAGTCTCTTTGTCAAGTTTTTATGACTAAAGTGCATATACAATTTTTGCCATCACGAGATTTCAAAATGATAATTGGACACAGTGATGATAAATACCAGCTTTCAGAAGATAAGAATATGAGTCTCTTGCCTAAGTGCCCAATATAGAGAAAAATTTAAGCCTTCAAAGTACATGCATTATCAAATTATGAATTGATAAGAGTAGATCAATCTTTAGGTCATTGCTTCTTCACTATTACTGGATTTACATATGTGCCCCACACTCGAAACACTATATTAGGCACTAGACATGCAGAAGTGAACAGTTCACAGTGCCGACCTCATGTGCTTGGGAATTCCCCATCTGCACTTGGGTTTAAGACCTTGTGCACATAAGCATAACCTTGGTTACAGAAATGCAGTAGTCATGCCGTGTAAACATGAATTTCTTCTTAAGCCTTGATTTTTGTATTTCTGCTGTGATGAACAGTGTCAAGTGATAACTGGCCTTACTATCCATTCCCAACATACTTTATATTCTAATACATTATTATCTTCTTACTGTTTTTTTTTGTCTCACATTAAGTAAAATTTTTACATATCTTGATATTTTTAGTAAAATCAACAAGAGGGACAGAATTTAAGTTTCTGTGTCAAGGCTGTTGAAAATTTTTAAGTAGATGCATATCCCTCAGGAAGAGGAGCCATACCACTGAGGATACAGCTCCTTAATAGTCAAAACCATATTGGCTACATACACCTGGCACTCTGCTGTTCCTTGTAGCATTGGTGATCATTTATAAGGTTCTATGCATTACTTAATGTGACATAAATGTTTTTAGTGACATTTTCTCTACTGATGAGAAGCCTGGGTGTTAGAATGTCTTATACAAGGAAGATCTGTCTTGGAGAACTTGAAATTCTTCTCTTTTATACAACAGCTGTTCATAGTTTCAAACTGAGTCGGAATCATGTGGATTGGCACAGCATGGATGAAGTCTATCTCTACAGTGATGCAACAACATCCAAAATTGCGAGAACTGTTACCCAAAAACTGGGCTTTTCTAAAGGTAATGGTTACATGTTATTGTGGCTTGTCAAGATTTGGGGGATCAAAAGTAGATAATTCAGATTCTGTTTTTAATTTATATTTTAAATAGTTCAGTGACAATAACCCTGTGAAGTGAAACTTTTATCAAGGTCTGTGCACTCATTCATCAGCTCAGAATTAGAAATTCAGAAAACCTGACAAGGACAGGAAATGCCAACATATATTATCTTACAAAGTTTATTTTCTCTATGTATACCCAATGAAATACTTTTTATAGTCTTATTATTACTACTTTTTCTTTCTTTAAACCTTTGTGAAAGTGGTAAACATAGGGCTGTAATTTCCCCACAGCCTCCAGCAGTGGGACCAGACTTCACAGAGGTTATGTAGAAGAAGCCACACTGGAAGACAAGCCGTCACAGACTTCTCATATTGTGTTTGTTGTACATGGCATTGGACAGAAGATGGACCAAGGAAGAATCATCAAAAACACAGCCATGTGAGTACCGAGTCCTACCTATGGCATGAGCAGGTGCACGGACCCTCCGCTCCATGTTCCCAGCACCGGCTCTCTAACCTCAGTGACGTTTCAGGACCAAACCAAGAGTGACTATATCTAGATGAAGTCTGACTTCACCCTTCGTTGCAGGAGAGAGGAGGATAAGAAAGCTTACTCAATGTATTTACTTGATTTAAGGTCAACAGCAGGAAAAGATCTGGTTTTAAGTGTTCCTTACTCTATAAGCTTCAGAAATTGAAAATGCTCAAAGTTGTCGAACTCTAAGATGATTAAAACTTGTTTAAACTGACAATTTTAATTACTTTAATTATTTAATTTAAATACTCTACCCACTCATTGCTCCAGAGGAAACAACTCTAGACTTTTACCCAGAAGTCAGTGGCTACTAACACACAAGGCAGGTTATTTGCCTCCTTAATTGGCTAGTACTTAGCTTTATTCTAAATCGTCTTTAGAAGCTTCTCAGGATATTTGTGTGGGGATTTGTGTGTTTCAGAAGTTGTTCAGTGGGCTGGTGAGATGGCTCAGTGGTTAAGAGCACTGACTGCTCTTCCAGAGGTCATGAGTTCAAATCCCAGCAACCACATGGTGGCTCACAACCATCTGCAATGATATCTGATGCCCTCTTGTGGGGTGTCTGAAGACAGCTATAGTGTACTTATAATAAATAAATAAAGTTTAAAAAAAAAAAGAAAAAAAAAAAAAAAAAAGAAGTTGTTCAGTGCTGTGTTAACTGGCTGTTAGGGTTAAAGGTCACACCATTAATTTGGCTCTTTGCCAAACTAAAGCAAACTGATGAGCACAGACTTACAGTGACTGAGAACAGTCAGTCACTATTGAAAGCACAGTTTATCAGACTCAGGCTGCCAGCAGAATTCCCTATTCCTGAAGTGAATGCCATCTGATGCTAGGAGTTAGATCTAAGTAACCTGTGTACATAGGCATTGAGCTTGCTGCACTGTGAAACCACAGCACCCACTGAAAGATTAAAAGTACAGTGCAGCTCAGGTTGTTTTGCGTTGGACACTGGCACACCTTAATTGTCAGTCTTTTGGTTTCTATTGTAGGCATCTCATAGATCCAATTCTGACTTAGTTTTATGATGAGTCATACATTACGTGGCATAATAATTCTGTCCTGAGCTGGGCGGTTGGTGGTGCACGCCTTTAATCCCAGCACTTGGGAGGCAGAGGCAGGCGGATTTCTGAGTTCGAGGCCAGCCTGGTCTACAGAGTGAGTTCCAGGACAACCAGGGCTATACAGAGAAACCCTGTCTCGAAAAATCAAAAAAAAAAAAATAATAATAATAATAATAATTCTGTCCTGATACATCCTGTGCTTAGATATGGAGGACCGTGAGAAGTAGGTTTGCTGGTATAGCCTCCCTAAGATCTTTAGTAAAAGAGAAGTTTAATTTCTTTAGGTACAAGTGAGGCAAATCTTTGTAAACTCACTGACAACTGCTTGGCCTCCATATCTCACTACCACCTCACGGGGGCTGTACAATAGGAAGACCATCTTAATAACATCACATGGATGCAGTTAGCAAACAGACTATAGAAAGCTCTACAGACAAAGGGGTGTGGGGGGTGTGAATTAACAGACAATTGAAACCTGTGTACCCTCTGTGGTGAATGGACTGTAGTATTTGAAGCATAAAATAAATATAAAATGTTTTAATGTTATAAAAGTTTAATGTTATAAATATATAGAATGTTATAATAGTTTTTATAATCAGCTGGAGGAACTAGGCCACTGAACTACATGCTTGCTAAAATTAAAATTTACTCAATTGCAACACCATAATATCGAATAGATGTTATTTTAGAAAAATATGCTATTTAGAGATAAGAGAGCTGGGACGTAGCTCAGTGGTAGAGCATTTACCTCACATGTGCAGGTTGTAACTCTGGTAAAGCAGTTGCTTCAAGGATTTGAAACCTTAGGTTCAGTGTTTGCATGAAGAAAATAGAAGCAGAAATAAAATGATGTGGTATCTGCGATTTGGTTTAAACCATGCAAGGAAGATGTACCTGTTGAAGGGATACATGAGAGGTTTTCACAGTGACCTGTTCACCATCTTCATTGTGTTGCACCGATCATAATCTTATCCATGTAGTAAAATTCACATAACTGAGAAAAAAATTCACTGATACCTTAATTTTTTAAGTTAAAAAAAAAACCCTGCAGATCACATTATAAAGAAAAGATAAGGGGCTGTGGGTCAGGAAGAGTGCAAGAATCAGGGGAATCCTTGTGCAAGATGGTGTCCTGTTAGGGAAGGCACACCTGTGAAACCTCCACAGTATGACCAAACCGTGGCACCACCACTAGACATGCCAACATGGATGCTGGAAATCTCGTGAGGGCCATCACTAGAGGAAGAGCTACTGACAATTAACTACTTTGGAGGGAGGGGAAATTAGTCATCTTCATGAAGAGCCCCCTAATTGGTTATCCAGTACCACATGGTCAGACCTGAAATGACATACACATAAGCAACACTAAGTAGACCCAGCAGGCTGTATTTATACATTTATTTGTGTGTGTGTGTGTGTGTGTGTGTGTGTGTGTGTGTGTGTGTGTAACAATAATAATTCAAGAAAAGTAGGCCATAATTTGAGAGAGCAGGAGAGGTGAGTGCTAGGATATAAGAGATGCTGGCGGGAGGAGAGGAAGAGAGAAAGGAAATGATCTAATTATATACTAATTAAACATAAAATAGTTAAAGGAGCTGCAGTGAGATAACCCGTGACTGGATGGTGCGTGGAGGTGAGCACAGTCGTGGACATACTCCCTGCGCTCACACATCCCCAGGAGCCAGGCCATCTAGAATGTCCTGTACGTGGGAGCAGTGGAGGTCCTCAGTGACAGGAACGTAACTGAGGCACAGCAGTGCTGAGTTACAGCTGAGTGTCACAGTCAGCGGGAGACGGTTGGACAGAGTTACCTGGAGATGGACGTGAACACTGTGAGGTATTTTAGCACGTGTTTGAAGCTATCCTCAGAGTTTGTCTTATGTTTACTTGTTTGCTTTATTCTTTCAGGATGAGAGAGGCTGCAAGGAAGATAGAAGAAAAACATTTTTCCAACCATGCAACACATGTTGAGTTTCTGCCTGTTGAATGGCGATCAAAGCTTACTCTTGATGGAGGTATGTTTTGTTTGAAATTGAAGGATTTTAGCCAGTGATAAACCTGTTCTAGAGTAAATGTACAAAGTTTTAAAAATATTTTGATTAAGAACAAAATCCTCGCCAGGTGTGGTAGCATATGCTTTTAATCCCAACACTTGAGGGGTAACGCAGGATCTCTGTGAGTTCAATGCTAGCATGGTTTATATTACAAGTTCCAACCAACTGGACATACATACCATGAACAAATCTTTTCAGTTGTCTTAGGGTATATTCACTTTTTGTTCCAGATTATTCAAGAACATATTTGAGGGGAAACATGTTTTTAAAATTACCAACATTGACTTGTGTCTTTGGACTGGACTGCCATGTAGACTTCATAGATCACTCTGTGTGTGTGTGTGTGTGTGTGTGTGTGTGTGTGTGTGTGTGTGTCCATCCTTTGTGATTTGGAGATGGAGGAGATTTAGGTCTCTATGATACCAGCACCTACCTTCCTCACGGTGCTTCGCCACACACATATAACCTCTCATTTCCCAGTTACTTGGTTTTGTTTTTTGGGGTTTGTTTGTTTCTTTGTTTGTTTGTTTTTGAACAGTCTGACCTTTGTAGCCCAGATGGCCTTGAACTCGCAGTCTTCCTGCCTTAACCTCCTAAGCCCTGGGATTCTGGGCGTCACCTAGTGATGTGATGATAGTTTTGAAGGCACTAAGATAACTGGAAGAAGCCAGCCAGAAAGAACCTGTTCTTTCAACTTCCAATCATAAAACAGCTAAAAGGGCAAAACTGCAGGCGCAGAAAACAAGCCAGGGACTACCAGAACTTAAGGCAAACCATGGAAGTCCTGGTGACATAAAACTCTACAAGTATTAAAATTCATTATCAGCCTTACTCGGCATACATTTCAAAATAAAAGCATGCTATGGCAAGTACCTGTGTAATAACTGGTAGTAAAAGAGTAAAAACAAAGATTTTCATGCTGCTTTCTCTGCACACAGTAATACATGAAGAAAGGATGACAGGAATAAAGAATTGAAAGCATCAGTTCTGGCTTACAGGTCATATGCTATCTGATCAGAATACACACACACACACAAAACAAAAAATACAGAAAAATCATTAGAACCGATCAACTTAGCAAGGTTATGACATAGAGGATTTATGCACAAAAATAAGTGCTTCTGTAGACTAGCAACAATAGAAATAACATCAAAAGTGCAATACACCAAGAAATAACTTAAATATACAACTTTTATATAAAATATGTAACTTTAAGTAGCTTAATTTTATACGTTTAAATATTAAAGTATAAGTACTATTAAAATATAGAAAATTTAAGTACAAAGTTGATTTTCTCATCAAATGGTTGAATATTCTAGAGATGCTAACTCTCAAGTTGGTCTGTAGATTTTCACAGAACTTGGAAAGCTGACACTGAAATGACTGTAGAACAAAGGGCCCAGAATAGCCAAGAACTGAGTCAGGGAGTCACGTCCTCCTCGGTGGCTGGAGCAACTTAACTTTTGAAATGGAAACACTTTAATGTCAGGACAAAGCTGGGCAGATAAACCAGGGCTGCAGCACGTGCCTCACACATTCCTTGCTGATGCTGGAGCCTGACCACAGTAGAGCAGTGCTGCAGCCCAGTGCTGAAGCTGGTTATCCTATGGGGGAAATGGTTAAACGAGAAAGATGTCTGCTCTGTATATCAGCTGGACCAAAGGCTTAGCATGAAGACCACAACTTTCAGCACTTTAGAAAATATTTGAGAGAATAGTTCAGAGCACATAGAGAGTCTTGGTCTTTATCATGGAGCCTTCTGGTCCTTACTGTGATGGGCTAAACTGCAGACTGTAGACACATTAAACAGTTGCTGAGCAGTGCAGCGACTGAGGGCCTAAGGCTTCATCCGCCCTTCTGAACTTCTGTAAGCACTACACAGCTACACAAATGTCCAATTTCTGAGCCCATAGTGGGTTTGTTCACCTTTGTTTGTATCTGGGATTTGACAGTGCATGGCCATAGAGTCATCAAGTCACCAGAGATAGATAAATATGAAGCATAAGAAAAGTTTTGTTTGTTGCCAGTTTTTTGTTAGCAGTGCCAGGATGCCAGATGGGCATAGTCAGGCTCAAGGTAAATAGAACCCAAAAAATTAAGAATGGCCCTCTTCCTTCACGTTCCTTTCCTTTTTGTGTCTCTTTTTGTTGTCTTTTACTTTTTAGTGTTTGGTTTTGTTTAGTTTCATCTTAGATATTTTACAAGAAGGAAGGAGCCCTACTAATGTTTAATATTTAAATACCGATGTATTTTAGGAGATGTAAATGTCACTGTAAGCTTGTTGAGTTTGGTTTGGTTGTTCTGCTCTCACAGACACTGTTGATTCCATTACTCCCGACAAAGTGCGAGGCCTGAGGGACATGCTGAACAGTAGCGCGATGGACATCATGTACTATACCAGCCCGCTTTATAGGGATGAGGTAAGCGTCCTGACCAGCTGGTCATGTTTGCTATACTTTACAGTGACAACAGATAGATGCTTTCTAATAGTAAATTTGTCAGCTCCGGACCAAGTGCTTCACAGATGGGCCTGGCCTGATAAGACCAACCACTTGGTGCTCCTTAAAAATACAGAGAAAGGCCAGAACTGGCAGGACACACCGTTGCTCCCACACTCAGGAAACAGAGCTACACAGAGAGACCTTGTCTCAAAACAAGGCAAGAGGGACGTACATGGTGGTGCACACCTGTATTCCCAACACTCAGAAGACTAAGGAAGAAAGATTGCCATGAGTTCAAGGCCAGTCTGAACTACAGAGTGAAACCCTATCTCAAAAAATGATAGAATAATAAAAATAAGTGTATAATACACACACAGTTAATCTCTGTGTGTGTGTGTGTGTGTGTGTGTGTGTTCTCACGTGTGCGCGCATGTGCAGGTGACTATGATTGCATACATGCATACACTTCCTAGTCATGTACACTAAAATAGCAAAGAAACAAAAATACCCCTTGTCACAGTGAACACACCTAACATCCAGATGTTTGTAGTACTGTTTTTCTCATAAAGAGAAATTACAATTCCTTGTGAATGTAGCTGATTCAGAAACCAAAACATAAGTAGTTTATGACATAAGCTAAAGAAGTGTTCAGACAAATAATGGCAGGTGACAAGGATAGGAGCCAGTGCCTGGATCTGAAGCTCTTTGGGCACCCAGGTCGTCGCTGTTACTACCAGAATTATTGCTACTTGTAATGTGGGGATGGAATAATGACAGTGCAGTAAAGAAGTGCAAACCATTTTTTAATCTAACATTCACATTGATTATAATTTGAAAATAAGTGGGAAGCAGATAGGTCTCTTGCTTTTAGAACAAAAACCTGACTGGGGTTGGAAAATCACTTTTACAGCTGGCATGGCAGTATTGGGTACACAGACACTGGACATGAATCATCAGTGAACATTGACTCAGGGGCAGTGGTTTGTTTAGGAGCAAACTAATTGCCTGGTCTTAGACTGCATCCCTGTAGACTGCTTACTGGTCCATAAAGGAGAGCTATAATTACACACAGGAGAAATCAGGCAGCATCTATACTGGGTTTTCCCAAGGGACAGGTGGACACTTACAGTCCCTTTGGATGGGATGCCTTGTGGAGGATGCACCATCCCCTGTGCAGCAGCAGCATAATACTGAGGAAATACCTGAGAAACAAAAAACAAGGCCCAGGACTACAGCTGAATTCTTTTAAACCATTAGTGTCATAAAGACCATAGGTACAGGAAGCGGTCCGGAATACAGGAGGTGAAGAGATCTCCTGAGTACTCTGTCTTGTTCTCTGCTGTAGTAGATGAGGAAGCTGCAGGGAAGGGTGACAAGTGTGGGGTTAAGGGCAGTAGATTAGAAAAAGTCGATCCAAATAGTGCTCTGTGGCATGGATAAATAAACTAGAAATACTCGTAATTTGAGGGAATGTACAAGGAAGTATTAAGGGATAAAAGAAGACAATGTATATACTAAACTCCTCAAGTAATTGCCAAAAATTTGGGGAAGTTATGTGTTTACATATTTATTGAAGCAGAGAGAACACAAATGTGGTAATTGATAGCAAAAGAAGACTCTAAATAAACATAATGTGTCGATTTTTTAAATTATGTGTTATGAGGAGGGGAATGTGCAGGTGAGCCCAAGTCCTGTGGAGTCCAGAGAAGGACAGCGGCTCCCAGGGAGCTAGAGTTAGCAGGCTGCTGCGAGCCACCCTGCTGAACACTGGTCCTCTTAAGAACAGGGTGCGGCTCCAGCTCAGACATTTGATTGTACTAATTTTGTTTTGTAATGTTTCATATTTTCAAGTTTTTTTTTTTAATAAAAAGTGAAGAAACAAAATATCAGAGTTAAGGGGGGAGAACAGTTTTCTGTCCCCTTAGAGGTTGTGAGTCAGTTCGTCCAATGTTAAATTAACAGTTCTCCTAGGTGATACCATCAGGGAATTGTGGGTGGTACTTCTTAAAGCATTGTGAAGAACAAAAGGAATTCATACTAAGAGGTGGGCAAAAGTGCTTGTTTGTTTACAAAAGGAAACTCTGTAAATTACAATCCCCCATGTTGGAGCTAGAGAGACTACACAGCAGTAAGAGCACTTGTTACTCTTGCAGAGGACCCTTGTTCAGTTCCCAGCACCCACATGGTGGCTCAGAGCAATCCTGACTCCAGTTCCAGGGGATCATAAACCTCCTCCTCTGACTGACATCCTTCAGGCACATGTGCTACATAGACATACATCCAAACAAAGCACTTGTAAAATAGAAAATAATCCTAAAAAAGCAATCCCTTGTGTTACTCTTTAACATAGAAAGTGAAATAATGATCAGTGAGTAGAAGGAACATGTTGTTTACTGTGATGAAGACCTTTTTAGTTGCAAAGTTGTCTTAAAAGAATGGACACTCCCTTCAACATGGAAACAAGAGACTCCATAGATGCAAGCTACCACCCACCAGAAACTGTGCTACAGAAGGGATTCTCATCTCCACAGCAGTTAATTTAGGTCACCTCTTGGTCTCCTGACTCTGAAATTGAGATTCTCAAGGGAAAAACTGTAACTTTGTTAATGGCTACAGAAGAGCCCATATTAGAGGAACAGGGCTGTTTTCAGCTAGTCCTTCTCAGTTCACACTTTCTTGAGGGTTACATTTTTTAAAAACCATGAAAAGTATGTGCTTTTTGCCAGTGTACCAAAGTATTTACATGTTTACATGGTTTAAACCTTAATCAAGACCTTCAATAATAACCACAAAGCTAGGTCAGTGTCTCACTTCCTTTAGCGTGCACAAAGTCCTGGGTTCAATCCCAGGCAAAACACATGCATGTGCACTCTTGCTGGAACCACTGCATGGATTGTAAGTAAGGAAGTTGTTTTGTTGGGTTTGTTTTTTGTTGTTGTTGTTGTTTTGTTTTGTTTTGGATGGCTGATAGCATAAGAGCTGACTCCAAAGAATTACATTACAGCTCCTTTAGTGAAGACCATGCAGACTGACATCGCACGCACAGTCTGTAATCCTACCTGAAAGTCACCTGCAGTCCATCTAAAGGCTTTAGTGGCCATTTGTCCTGAAACTGTAGTTCCTAAAGTAGAGTTCTCAGGCCAGCAGCACCAACATTTCCGGGAAGTTAGTACAAATGCTAGCTCCCAGGGCCTCCAGAGCCTGAGTCAAGAAGTCAGAGGTAGAGCCTACCAGTCTGCTCTTGACAGTCTCAGTGACTCTAATACGTGTGGGATTCGCAGGGCAGTTTCCACTAAAGTGTGGAATTCTTGTCCTCTCTCTGCCTCGTCAGCAGAAGATATGCATCAGACTCACCGCACAGTCTCAGTAGCCCAACTTAGCTTTTATTGTACTCCAGGATGTCAGCAAAGGACACCAGGCCTTCATGCATGCTGTCCCTGAGCCTTCCAGTCCTAAAACACAGGAGTGAATGCCAGTCTATGCATTCAGGTGAAGAATGTTGAGAAGCAGATGATGGAGTTTGGTTGTCTGTTAATATAACATGACTGAAATTAGAAGCTATGAGAGAGGGAGAGGGAGGAGAGAGAAGAGAGAAAGAAGAGAGGGGTGGGGGAAGGGGCTGTCAGAGCAACAGCTAGCTTATTAAGAATTGAAATAAAACAGATAAAACTGAAATTTTGTAATCAAGTAGAAGAAGCAGTAAGGAGGACTGCACTAACCTTCAGGTCAGGTCCAGGACAGGTTGGAGTGATAAACAGTGTTATTCTAGTGGATTCAGAAAAGGCAGTGTTATCTCAGTATTGTCTGCTGCTGTTCAACTTCAAGGGAAACAGCTTCACAGAGACAAAGTATATCCATCACAAATTTATATTCTTTTAAAATATTTACTATAACCAAAGCCTGCACACTATAAAAATTTAGAATTGACACATAGTCAGATAAACTGAAGTAATTTCTAGGAGTCTTTGGAGCTCTTATTGAAACCTAAAAGAAAGGATTTTTTTCCCCATCTACAAGACAGCTGGCTAGTGTCATTTACTTAAAGCCTACAAAAGGACCTTTGTAGGTAACCTGCCTGTGGTGTATTCTGTGGTGATGATACAGTTTGCACCATATATGTACCTCTATTCTTCTAGTTTTTTAAAGTACCTGAATAAATTTAATATCCTAGTTATAGTTCATCTGTCATGTTTGTTTTCTTCTTAATAAATTTGCATTTAGTACTAAAGTTGCTAGCACTCAGTGAAAAGTCTAATATTATATTTTTTTATTTCAAACAGCTAGTTAAAGGCCTTCAGCAAGAGCTGAATCGATTATATTCCCTTTTCTGTTCCCGGAATCCAGACTTTGAAGAAAAAGGGGGGAAAGTCTCAATAGTGTCCCATTCCTTGGGGTGTGTAATCACTTATGACATCATGATGGGCTGGAATCCGGTTCGACTTTATGAGCAGCTGCTGCAGAAGGAGGAGGAGCTCCCTGACGAGCGATGGATGAGCTATGAGGAGCGGCATCTTCTTGACGAGCTCTATATAACAAAACGACGGTAACAACCCTAGCCTTTGAAGAAGCTGAAAATGCCTTTATGGAATTGTTAATGTTCGTAAGAGAAAACCTTAGTCCAGTCTGGAGAGATGGCTTCATGGTTGAGTCTTTCAGAGGACCAGAGTTCAGTTTCCAGCACCTACATCAGCCTGCTCACAGCTCCCTGTAACTCCAACTCCAGACAATCCAGGGCCCTCTTTTGTACCTACACGTGCCCAGAAAAACACGTAGTTAAAATTTGAAGTAAAAATCTCTTTGCTACATTATCTTAAGTATATGCTATATATTTGCATTCTCATCTTTTTCATCCACTTACTGATCCAAGTCTACAATGAAAAACACCAATTCTGATAGTTTAGCATTGTATAAAAACAGTTATCTGATGAACTTTTACTCACAAAGTGTTGGCTTTGTTTTACTTTTAAGAATAGTTGTCTCGGGATTTGACCTATGATTTAGTCTTGGAAGAAAATGGCATTTTACCAGAGGCAGGTAGATTTCTGAGTTTGAAACCAGTCTAGTCTACAGAGTGTGAGGTCCAGGACATTCAGGGCTACACAGAGAAAAATCTGCATAAAAAAAAAAAAAGAAGAAAGAAATTAAGTCTGACACTGCTCAGAGCAGCATTTTAAATGTATAAATCTGGTGAAGCATGCCCTGGACCTGACTTTGATTCCCAGAACCTATGTCAGCCAGCTCAGTCTTGTTAACCCAGCCACAGGACATCCGACACCCTTTTCCAGCCTATATAGGCAGTGCATTTCCATTTATAGGCACATACACACAATTAAAAATCAAATCTAGCTGGGCAGTGGTGGCACACACATTTAATCCCAGCACTTGGGAGGCAGAGGCAGGCGGATTTCTGAGTTGGAGGTCAGCCTGGTCTACAGAGTGAGTTCCAGGACAGCCAAGGCTACACAGAGAAACCCTGTCTTGAAAATCCAATAATAATAATAATAAAGTCTAAAATATTTTAAATTAAAAAACAAGCATAGTCATGGTGGAACATGCTTGTAATCCTGGCCCTTGTTAGATAGAGTTAGATAGCTCAGAGTCAGCCTGAGCTACACGAGACTGTCTTAAAATAATTAAGGAAACACATGAGCAAGTCTGTATCAGAAGGTGAGCTGTCGCTCTGTTGAGGAGGAAATGGTAAGCAAATGTATTCCATGTGAGCAAAACTGAGACGATGACTCAACAGTCCTCTGCAGAGAAGCCCCAAGCCGCAGCGTCTCATGTAGTGGGCAGACAATGGCAGCTTTAGAATTAAAGTGGGTGGGAGCAAAGCCATGAGAAGACCTGTACAATTCCTCACTAAATCTAGAAAAAGGGAAGACTTTCTAAAAAAGGCTGAACAGAAGAGGATAAAGTGTAATTTTTAAAGCTACATAGACCAGATAGATAGATAGATAGATAGATAGATAGATAGATAGATAGATTATGTATGTGCCGCAGGGTAGTGTGAAGGCCATCATTTGCATCATAAAGTAGTAAACCTCTAATTCAGCGCTGTAGTATTTGTAGTGAAACTATAACTGTGTGTTCTCATACTGCCTCCTAGGCTGAGGGAAATAGAAGATCGGCTGCATGGATTGAAGGCGCCATCCATATCACAAACACCTGCCTTAAAATTTAAGGTAAGGGAGATCAACTTCTCCTTGTCTCAGTGCTTCTTGAATGTTTGATAAGGGTCATGAAACAAATGAGAGTCTAGTCATGAGTGGTTATCGAGCATATATGTGCACTTGCACACTTGGAAAGAACAGCATAAAGATGGTTTTCCAGTGCCAGGATGTAACTATATTGGTGCCCTTTAGCTGCAGCTGTGCGCACAGAGCAGCAGTACACCAGAGGGTAGCCTTTCTTTTGCCTGTAAGGCTTTAAAAGAATGAACACTTGTTCCTCATCTCAGTTTACATTTAGCCAAGTCAAAGAAAAGAGAAAATAAAAGGAGGAAAAGTTGAGGCAGATGTGTGTCAGGGTAGACAGTTGGGCATTTCCCAAGACAAGGGTCACAGGCTCAGTTTGGCTGGAATTTTTAGGACTTGTCAATGGGCTGAGAGGAGAGGAAGTGCCATCTGCTTGCCAGGGACAGAGTGAAACCGGTTATTGGACTAGTTAAGACAGTGCTCTATCTAGTAAAGTGTCAGGTGGGAGGGTGTCAGCACTGACCACACTCAGGAAGGAGATGTCCTTATCTGCGTTGTAAACACAAGATGGCATGAGCCTCTGACACTTGATCTCTGCCGTACCTTAATGTGGGTTAAAACATGGATGGTAGAGGAAAAAAAACTGCATTGACCTTCTGGCTTTCGGTTCTTCTTTAACTGATACTTACTTTTGTGAGTATGAGGGAGTGTCTTCATGTAAACCACACATGTGCCTAATGCCAGCAGAGGCCATGGATGATACCAGAGCCCTGTAACTGGAGTCACATGCACTTTTGAGCTGTCTTTTGTTATTGGCAACTGAACTGGGGTCCTCTGTAAAAGAATAGGTACTCTTAGCCACTAAACCATCTCTCTGGCTCCCCCCACACACACTGTTTTTCTTTTAACTTACACATTTACAAAGCACATTGTTTTCTAGACCAGTACATGATTGAGTCCAAATAACTAGTCACATTTGAGAAAAATACAGGAGTTATTATAACTTCTCTTTTTGATTCTCTGTCCCACAAGGTCTAAAAATTTGAGGCAAGGCAGCTTGTCCCATCTGGGATATAGGAAAGCAAAGATGGGTCAGGAACATATGTCCAATACAGCTTCCAGTCGCCATTGTCAGGGCACTCAGCAAGCTCACAGGTCAGCCCCATTCTTTCTTTGTCCCAGCATCAGCATGTCTCACCAGTCACTCTGGCAGCCACCATGCTCCTTCAGCATCCTGCAGAAAAAACACAAACATGCCCTCTTCCCTGTATTAGATACCTGATCAGGATCATGCCATATGCCAGTAAGTAGATCCTTCCTTTTCACCTAGGCATAAGTATGTCTAGTTGTAGGGTGCCATAGACACTCAGCAGAAAGTTCCTTGGCATCCAGATTTTTTTTTTAATTTTAAAATAAAAAGAACATGATTTAAATAAACTTGTGGTATACCGGAATATACCTCCCCCTTTTTTATTTTATGAAGATATTGTTTTAAAGTTCCACGGGCCCCTTCCACAATACCTTGTCCTTGAGGATTTTAAGGAATCCCAGTAATATGAATAATATTAAATTGTTAACAGAAAGTCTCAAATGCTCGACTGCAATAGCCAGTTCCATTATCTGTTTTTTTATTGGATATTTTATTTACCTTTCAGATATTATTCCTTCCCCCCCAAAAGCCCCCATCCCATCCCCCCCTCCTCCTACTTCTATGAAGGTGCGCCCCCACCCATCTACCCATTCCTGCCTCTCTACCCTCGAATTCCCCATACTGGGGCATCCAGCCTTGCCAGGACCAAGGCCCTCCTCTCCCACTAATGTCCAACAAGGCCATCCTCAACTACATTAATTGCCAGCACCACTGCTTCTGCAATTTCTTTGATACAAGAAGTTAAGACTTTTTTAATCATTTGGAAAAAAAAAGTTACTAATGTGTTAGATATACAAGAGGATTTAGATAGACATTTGGAACATCAGATTGAAATTATTGAAAGGAGGTTCAGAGTTTAAGAGTAAGGAACCATCTCAAATGTCATGCCAAATACCAGTGGAGTTGTGTTACTTCTAAAATTCATGATAGTCATTATAATAAGGAAGAAGTTTAAAGACACTTGCAGGGTATTTGGCATAATGTTAACACCTCTCTGAATGTTTTAACTTTGCATAGTGAGATTATGAATTTAAAGAATGCTGCTGCCGGGCAGTGGTGACGCACGCCTTTAATCCCAGCACTTGGGAGGCAGAGGCAGGTGGATTTCTGAGTTCGAGGCTAGCCTGGTCTACAGAGTGAGTTCCAGGACAGCCAGGGCTACACAGAGAAACTCTGTCTCGGAAAAAAAAAAAAAAAAAAGAATGCTGCTTTGCTGAGCTTTGCTCATCATCAGCTGCAGATAATGCTGATAAAATTATCCATGGTTTGACAAAGCTTCAAGAATGGCATATATAGCTTGATCACTCTAGCCCTTCTTGTCCTGGGAATACTTTTATTCCTGCCCATCGTGTGAAAGCTTGTCTTTAACAACATGGACATGTTGGCGGCCAAAGTACATGGCTTAAAACTGAAAATGGACCCCCATACAGAGTTATTAATTTAACAGGCTGGCAAGCCAAGGACAGGTAAGATTCTGCACAGAGCCTTACCAACCTAAGACATAAGTGCATTGCTTTGGTGTCGCTGCCCACTCCGACCCACGGAAAAAAACAGTGACACACGGAGTTCTTCTCCCAACGCAGGTTATTCAGGAACCCTTACATTCTTCAAAAAGCCCCCAGCCTCTCCTCCACCGCCCTTAAATCCCTCTGCCTTCTCCAATCAGAGCCTGCCACGTCGGTGCATGTGATACGACAATGGGTATGGCAAGATCTGACGTTGCCCTACGTAGCAGACGGCCCGATTATGCATAGCAGTGAGCCTGCGCAATATTGCCTGTGGGCGTGGCTTCTTCAGGGGCGTATGAGGAAGTCAGGTGTTAGCCTCAGGTGCCATTTTGGAATGGCCACCACACCCGCTTCCTATACTTTGGATAATGCATATTTCATGATGGGTAATGAAGACATCCTTGTCAGAATGACCTAAGACAGGCTCAGTCTTGTTTATGAAATAAAAAAGGGGGAGGATGTGGAGAGCTTTTGGGTCTGCTTGGCAGGAATCTGACATGGGCCAAGGACAAGGAAATGGGCTTCAGGCAGGAATCTAAATCTTAGGCTAGAACAAAGAAATAATTTCAGGCAAGAATATAAAACTTAGGCTATAACAAAGAAGTAGACTTCAGGTATGAAAATGACTTTGGGCTAGGACAGGGATGTAGGCACAGATATTTTGGTCATCCTGATAAGCCCTTAGAAACAGTGATCATGGGAGTGATCATGGGCCTTTGTTTATTGCCTTGCTTGTTCTTTGACTATTTGTGTTTATTGTCTTGCTTGGTCCTTGACTATTTGCATCTATTGTATTGCTAGTTCTTCAATCTAGAACTGACCTTAATACTTGCATGTAATTAAAATGGTATAAAAGCCAAAAGGAAGAGTAGGATGAGATAGGGAGATTATGGGAGTGGGGGGAGGGGGGAATGGGGAAAGGGGAAAACATCTGAAAGGTAAATAAATAAAATATCCAATGGGGGGAGGGGCAAAAAAGCACATTGTTGAGCTGTGCTCATAACTCAGTGGCAAAGTACTTGGCCAGCATGCTCAAGGCAGAAGGCCTAGGACTCACAGGAGGTGAAATGGGAAGTCTGAAGCATATGTTTAAGGAATATGCTCTCAGAGTTATGCTACTCTACAGTTTGAATTCCAGCTCTACCTACATGATCATATGTAATTAATGCTAAAAATACTAATGCACCCGGTAGATAAAGTAAACCCTTTTAGTAGAGAGTTAGAACACAGTAAGTATATTGTGATCGTAAATTTCATACCACATGACTAGAACCTGTACGCTATAGTTGAGTTTCTTTTGATACAAGTCATACATAGCTTAAAAAAGACTCCTCACAGTTATTCAGAGGAAAAGAGAAGTCTGGATTAAAGAGAAGTATCTTAAGAACCCGATGAATTATACTTGGGACTTAAGGAGTCCGAAGAGAACAGAAGTTTCTCTGTGTGGATAGCCATCAGATAGTGACTTGAGAATGCTAGTGTCCATCCTCTCTGAGTTGACTGTTGAGAGCGGTGACCAGTGTCAGTGTGTGATGCGCACAGTTACACGTTGGTTTGCCTGTGATTTTTTTTTCCTGTCCAGTTAGTGATATTAGCCAAGCCATGGAACAGTTCTGAATCCAGTTGTTTACTCATATCTGAATAAATACAGAGCTAAAGTAAACACCTGAAGTTCTTTTTTGTCTTCAAAACTCTTTGGAGGTTAGTGGGATGGATGGCTCAACAGGGAATGTCTCCTGCTGTGCAAGCCTGGTGACCTGACTTCAATCCCTGCAGCCCACATCAGGTTGAAGGAGACAATCAACTTTATGAAATTGTTCTCTGACCTCCACATGTGTGTCATGGTACACACATGCCCCACACACACATACAGACCATACATGTACACAGTCAAAATGATTTTTAAATCTTTTGATTATTTTGCAGTCATAAGTAAAGCAGTCTTTAACCTCCTATGAGAGAACAGTGCAGTCCTCAGCATGTCCCTCACACTGCAGTCATCATAAGTATACGATATGGAAGGATTGACTAGCCAATCAGGAAGCATTGTGCACAGAGTGTCATAACTTTCTCTTCTCACCCGTTTTTGGTATATTGGGTGGCTGGTGTGAGTGTGCGCCTGTGTATATGTACATGAGTGTGTGTGTGTATTCGGTGTCTGCACTTGAGTATGCAGGCGTTTGCCCAATATACATAACCGAGCAGAGCACAAAGCCAGCTGTCTCCCTCTATCACCTACCGTATTGCCTTTAGATGGAACTGGGTGGCTGGCTTGTAGGGTTTCAGAATTCTTCTACTGCCCAACAACCCTGGGGCCACAGGCATGCATAACCACACCCAGGATTTGCTTTGAATTTGGGAGATTCAAATTTAAGTCCTTCTGCTTAAAGAGTAAGTGCTCTTACCCACTGAGCCAATCCCCACCCCAACCCTTCTTTTTATCTTTTGAGGTAGAATCTTGCCAAGTAGCCCAGGCTAATCTTGAAATTACAGTGTAGCCCAGGCTGGCCTCAATCTGCCAGTTCTGCCTCAGTCTCATGAGTGTTGGGATTACAGACATGAGCCAAATGTGTGACTTGATTTTCTATTTCTTCCAGCCCTTCTCTTCTCATTTTACAGAAGAGCTGGATTGTATCCTCTGTGTCCCTGGTGTTTGCAGTGCTTCTCCTTGGGCTGGGCACAGCTTTGGTGATAACACATTCGAGGGCTCCAGGTTCAGGAACATGAAGGCACCATTTCAGAATATTCATTCAAAATAAATATTCATGCCTGTTTCTTCATTTAGAAGTCATTCTCTAGTCTCTTTGGAGAAAGTCACAGGTGTATAAAGTTGGAGGCCAAGACAGTCCCAGTATAGTTAGGGTGATATGATGGGATATTAAGATGAGACTCTGACTTGCATGATGCCTTTTTATTCTGGGTCGGTCTTTCACTCTCTCCTCTAGAGTTCCCCCTTCCTCCTGCTGACTAAATGTAGAACTGTCCATGTTCTGAGCACACCCAGGCAAGCTCATTCACTTTTTGGCTTCATATGCCACTACAGTGATGTAGCTGTGGGTGAGGAAAGATGCTGCTCTGACCGTCTGGTCAGCCACAGACTACAAAGACCTCAAACTTAGAGAAATGAGATTTAGTGGCAGTGGAACTGCAGTCCTGCAGACTCCAGTTGTTCTCACCCATCTCCATCCAGGAGTGGGAACCTGCTTCCATCCTCGAGTGTTCCCATTGAGACAGCTGCATGTGCTGCTTGAGATTGTCTCTTGCCTCATTTGTCTTAAGAGAGGGTTTTTTTTTTTCCAAATTGGTAGTATCCCAATTTGGGGGCATGTTCACACACTACTCCTCAAATATGGGTCAAGTTCTGTTCTTTACTACCTAAAAAGTAAATTAAGACTATCTTCCTTAGGGGGCTGGAGAGATGGCTCAGTGGTTAAGAGCACTGACTGCTCTTCCAGAGGTCCTGAGTTCAAATCCCAGCAACCACATGGTGGCTCACAACCATCTGTAATGAGATCTGATGCCCTCTTCTGGTGTGTCTGAAGATAGCTACAGTGTATTCATATATAATAAATAAATAAATCTTTAAAAAAAAAAAAAAAAAAAAAAGACTATCTTCCTTAAACAGTCAGAGATCTGAGCGTTATCATCCCAAGTAGATTTTCTCCCACACCCAGTTTTTCAGTCTTACCTATTTTCTGAAACATCATCCAGTACCACTCTCTCTGCTTTAGTCTGTGTATCTATCAGTCTTGACTGCCGTTCTCCCAGCAGTGATACTCTAGCCTCAGCTGTAGAAATCCTCGCTGTCTTACACCGGCCTTGGCATGCTGCACCTCCGTGAAGCCCTCAGAGTTGGAGGCTCCCCTCTTCTTGGGAACAGCAGTGATCTTGGCCCATCACACCATCCTAGCTCAGTGTGTTCCTGACTAGGATAGAAACACAGTGACAGACTTCTCCTCACCGCCCTCCTTCCCTCAGTTTTAATTTGTATATTGTATATTTTAAAATAATGAAAACCCTCCTGGAAGTAAATTATTATAAAATCACTAATGGCTGTAGACAGTAGACAAAATAGACTGTAATGTAGACAAAACTTACTTAAAACAAATAGAGGTGACGTTGTTGCTTATATTTTATTATATAATGTTATCTTCAGATTCTATGAAAATAACACTCCATCATTTTGTAAATTTAGAATGGCTTTTTTCATTTTAGGTTGAAAATTTCTTCTGTATGGGATCTCCGCTAGCAGTTTTTTTGGCATTACGCGGCATCCGACCAGGAAATACTGGAAGTCAAGACCACATTTTACCTAGAGAGATCTGTAACCGCTTACTAAATATTTTTCATCCTACAGACCCAGTGGTGAGTTTCAGCATCAGCTTTCTAGATAGTGAACTGCTGCTCTGTGAGAAACCTTGCCAGGGACCATGAATTAACAAGGGAATTCATTATCTGGCTAATTGGGAAAGGTTATATTTTTAATACTTGTATTTTTGTTCATTCAGAGTTCATGAAATAAAAGTGTTAGGAGAGAATCTTCTATTGTACTGGTAACATCTTATCAGGGACTGAGAGTTGGCCCAGTTGTTAGGAGCACTTGCTGTTCTTGCCTAGGACCTGGATTTGGTTCCCAGCGTCCATATCAAACGACTCACTATCTTCTGTAAGTCCAACTTCAGTGGGGTCCCTCCTCTGGCCTTCATAGGCATTGTATGCACATGGTACACATATATATAAACCAACCTCTTTTTTAAAAATGCGTTATAAAAATAATATCCGTGGACAACTGTACAGGAGACAAACATCTACTTTACAGACTTTAAGCTATTTTAATTTTGATGGCCTGGGAACAAGTAAGTTTAAAATATCCTGCTTTAAAGGCTGGCAAGAGAACTTGTAAAGGTGCTTGCCACCACACCTGTCAACTTGAGATTATTCCCCAGAACCCACATGGTGAAAGAAGAAAAGCAACTCCATAAGTTGACTTCTGTCATCGACATGTTATAGTATACAAAAATAAATAAGTAAATATATATTTAAGATGTCCTGCTTTAAGTAATGTTTTTCTAAAACATGCTATAAAAGTGAGATGATTCTGGCAGATCCTCTTAAACCAGAAACAAGAAAGGAGGTAAAATCATGTATTTAGTTGAGTGAAAGTGTAAAATACTTGTTTTTTTTTTTTCAATTTTCTACTATATTTGTGTTTAAATGTTTTTAAATGTAAACACTTCAAGATCTTACATCCAGGCGTAAATAGTGAGAGCTGAGAGGAGGTTTATAGACAAGACACATCGGGCTGGAGAGATGGCTCAGCGGTTAAGGGCCCTGACTGTTCTGCAGGGATCCTGTGTTCAACTCCCAGCAACCACATGGTGGCTCACAACCATCTATAATGGGATCTGATGCCCTCTCCTGGTGTAGACAAGACACATGCTTTCAGGCTGGAGTACAGCTCAGTGGTGAAGTGCTTGCTCACCTTGCAGGAGGAACCTAGTTTGATTCTCCACCACACAGAATGAAGAAGTTTCCTTACATCTTGTTAGGGATAATGGTTAGTACAGTGCACACACACACGGTAAAAACGATTTTAGATATCTAAAGTTAGCTTTTATTATAATTGTGTGATGGCCTTTGAAAGACCTTTAGCTAGTACCAACTAAACACTGACTGGCAGACTATTTGAATTTTAGAAAGTCCCATGTGTCCAAGCTTACAACTGCCCCATGTAAGAGAAAGCTCCAGCTGAAGAGCTGAAAGTAAGCTTCTGCCAGGATGATAGCCCTAAATGTGTTCGAGGCTCAGATGCAGACTACAGTCATGGAAGGCACTTCGGAGACTAGTATGTTGTATGTTTTACTTCATGCATGAATTCTGTCTTCTTTGTACAGCTCATTTTTAGCTTTTACATATTTGGTGCTGGAATTCAAACCCAGAGCTTCACATGTCCTAAGCATGCATCTTGCCCAGCTGCTTTGCTTTTTCCTAATGTTTTCTTAATGCTTTGTGCAGATCTGCACTAGCCAGGTTTTACAGACCTGCTCTCCTCTTCCTATAAGACAGCTCTGAGATTTTTGTGACATAACAAATGGCAGTGAATTGGTGACAGCAGCGAGAATCTACACTATGGGTTCTCACGCCTCACTGCAGCTAACGAGTGACTTGCTGGACAGTCACCTTTCATTGGCTTTCAAGTTAGGCTCTTATTGGAGTCACCCATAATAGAAAATTGGCCTTATTTCCTACAGTCTGGGCTGTCATCCACCTCAGCTTTGTTAGTCTGACACAAGGCTTGTTAGATCATGTCAGAATACAGTAAAACAGTCTTTTTCTCTAAAAATGAATTAATAGACACTGTTAGTCAATGATAACTCATTCTTTGTTGTTGTTCTTTTGTTTTTTTATAATCTCACTATTAGGGACATGTAATTAGACAGCCTCATATATTAACATTGAAAAATGTTTTTTCAAATTGCCATTTTCTAAATTTCTGCTCTAAGATTTTTATTCAACAGCTTTAGGAATAAACATTATACTAAAATCCAGAAATTATGAATTAATATCATATTTCTTTGCATTTTTTTTAAATCTAGGCATACAGATTAGAACCGTTGATTCTGAAACACTACAGCAACATTTCTCCAGTCCAGATCCACTGGTACAACACTTCAAACCCTCTACCTTATGAGCATATGAAGCCAAACTTTCTCAACCCAGCAAAAGAACCTACCTCAGTTTCCGAGAGTGAGAACATTGCAGCTGTCCCGAGCCCCGTGACCTCCCCCGTCTTATCTCGGCGCCACTATGGAGAATCTATAACTAATATTGGCAAAGCAAGCATATTGGGTAATTCTCTCATTTCTTATCTATAAATGTAAGCACTTCATGTGTAAGTATTAAATTGGTTGGAAACACGCTGTTAGAAAACTTTCACCTGTCCATCTCCTCCATTAGCTTCCTTGCTGCCTGAAGCAGGTGCTCTGACATCCTCTGATTGGACTGAATAAAGGAAAGGGCATGCTGCTGCTCACTATAGACTTGGCTCTGTGACTTGCTGAGGGAGCCTAAAAAATGCTGCTGCTGTTATTGCTCTTGTGCATTCTGGGCGCATCAAGGACTCTAATGTCGTCTCAAAGTGAACTCATTTAGTCCTTTTGCTTCTTAAGGCAGTAGGGATATTTCATCTCTCCTTGAGTAATTTCTTGTGCCAACATAGAAATTGGGCATGTCAATTGCACAGCACTTGAATTTGTCCTTTGTTTCTGACTGAGTGTCCTTCATGTAAGTGCCACAAGATGGCACTCTTAAGTAGGCCTTAGCTATCAAACTTCCTTGCTATTTGACATCAAGCACAAAGGTTACTAATGGCATTTTATAGCATAAATTTAGTAAGACATATACCTATTAATAGTAGGTAGATGCCCCATGTCAGCAGTATGGGTCTTTTGTTAGAAGTTCTAATCTTGCCATATACTTCTATAACAATGAGCATTTAGATAAAATAACACCTTGGTTGCTTTGGTTGTATATTCCTGTATCTGTATTCCTAGAATTTATACTTTCCTTCTTTTAAACATCATTCTTATTTAGAAACCTACAGTGGAAATTGAAATATTTTTTAGGTCCCCACCCTGGGAACAAATGAGTAGGGCTGATTCCCTCTGCCAGTCGGCTGTAATTGTGGGTGGTGCTCTCCAGCGTGCTGTGAGGTGAGTCAGCAGAGTGACTGCCCTGCTCTGTGACCTACAGGGGCTGCTAGCATTGGAAAGGGGCTTGGAGGAATGTTGTTCTCGAGATTTGGACGTTCTTCAACATCACAGCCGTCTGAGCCATCTAAAGACTCGATGGAAGATGATAAGAAGCCCGTGGCTTCTCCCTCCACCACCACCGTGGCCACGCAGACCCTACCGCACAGCAGCTCCGGCTTCCTCGACTCTGCATGTTAGTTCTACAGTTCTCTCCTTGAGCGTCTGTGCTTTTATCGCTGTAGCTTGGGAGGGCCGGGGAGGGGTAGGGAGAGCGGAATACTAGTGGTCCCGCTCAAGTCGGAAGTATTTTTAAAAAAAGGTAATGAGAATTTTAAGAATATTTTCTAGGCAAGTGTAGTTTTAGTGTCTGCATTGACAACTTGCTAGCTTATAACCAAGACTCTAGCACAAGGGTCTAAATTATCAAGCACAAGACCAGTCTCTGGGGTAGGCACCCCTAGCTTTTACAAAGTACACTTTTATTAATACAGTCATCAAGGTTTAAATATCATGTCACTCTAGGTGTATCTTCTGTCTGACACACAGCTCTGTCCTGCAGCTAACCACACACTCCTCTACAGCTTAGGAGCCCTCCAAGGCCGAGGCATTCTATTGGGTCCCACTGTATGTCTTTTGTTCCTGCCCTGGTTACCAGTGGACAGTAGGGAGTTCTGTGAGTAGGTACATGAAGCATTAAGGTGGATCTCTGTTTTCAGTAGACTTTAAGATTAAACTGACATAACTGTAAAGCACTGGCTCGTTAGTGAACTTGTGAGTGTCTGGTGATAGCACTGACACCTTGTGTCTTTCCATCAATGATAAGAAGAGACAAACTCTGAGGTAGCTGCTCCCTTTCTGAAGCTAGCAAGAGGCAATGAACTTCTCCAGCCCTTTTAACAGACTCCATTGCAGTTACTGGGAGCACTGTGTTCTTACTTTGTCTGCCACCGTGAATTTTGAAATGGACCAGCTACCAGAACAGGTCTGGGTGGCATCCAAGAGGCTGCCCTGCTCCTCCACACACGGTCCACCCCAGGGTGACTAGCCAGCAGGGCTGGGCCAACAGCGTCTGTCAGTCCTTTCCAGTGCTAAAAATGTGTTTGCGAGTCATTAGGGCCATGTGTGAACAATTCTTTTTAGATGTTGATATTTGTATAAAGTTCATTTTTCTTCTGAGTTCTTACACTGCTTCTTACTTATTTTTAGTTAGAAACATGGTTGTAAATATATAAACTTTAGTGTCATGCAGAAATCAAAATAGTTAACTTCTGAAAAAATGATTTTGAAGTAAGTTTGTAAAATGGCACTAAGAAGTTACAGTTCTTCATAATCTTGCCAGTGCATGGCAGTGATACCGGTGAACGGGAGAATACACACTGGGGCCAGACACTCCCAGGAACAGTTGAGACCCCAGAAAAAGGAGTGAACACACACAGAATCTGATCAAAGAAAATCCCGTTCCGTTTTGTGTACTAATACAAATGTAGAGAACTCTTCCTTCCTAAGCAGTGGGAGCTCAGCGGAACAGAAATCATCACACATGTCCCCTCAGACCCAGACCCTAGTGTGTGCTGTGTATGCAGCCTCCGGTCCTGCTGGGCTACACCCTAGCCATGCTGTGTCATGCTTGCATGTAAATGCTGTACCAGTCAGTCTTAATGTTAAATTTCACCTGTAGTCTCTACCTCTGAGATAACCATGAGTCTCTGTTTCATATAGTCAGCTCTAAATAGATAGGACTATCAGAGTCAGACCGTGTCCGGAAAAATCTGTCTTCAGTTGCTCAGGGTCTGGATTCCTGATTCTTGGACTTGCCTCAGTAGAGTATCCTTCTGTGTAATCCTGACTTTTATGCCATAATTGCTGTCTTGCAATTCTGAAACTCTCTCTTCCTTAAATCTTTGTGGAATCTGACTGTTGTGATTAGGTGCCTGGGCCTCCTTCCTCCTCCTCCCTCCTCACACTGATTTGCTTCAGCTCTTCTGGATAGCCTTCATTCTGATGCCACTGTCTTTGAATCTCATTATCTGAGGGGAAGGAGGACACAGACTGAATCCATGATCAATCCTGTTTTCTCTTTGAAGAGTAAGTCCTGTCAGGTGTCCTTTATTGTCATCGACTTGACCCATCTTACATAGCTATCTTTAACTTCTTCAGAAAGACAAGGCTTATCCTAAAGCATTTTATAGTTTCATTTCTTGTGTTCCTGCCAGACTTTTTAATTGGGTTGGGTTGGAGGGGGGATTATTTGTTTTTCGTTGGTTTGGTTTTTGTTTGGTTTGGTTTTTGCCCTCTAGGATACAACATAAATTAGCACTAAGTTAGAGGAGTATCTGAGCTATTAACAGATTCTGACATTACACTTGAGAGTTGAACTGTGCTCATATTTTCCATGAAGGGGCTCCTGACAGAAGCCTAGAGGTGTGCTCCTCTCTGTGTGCTAGGCTTAATCAGCTTGTTTGGAATGTGGCTCTTAACAATTGGCCACTGCAACACTGAAGGCCATTGTAACTATCAGCCTTGCCTTTACAGCGTCTTGTTTGTTTTTCTTCACAGATTTCAGACTTCAAGAATCGTTCTTTTATCTCCCACAACTTCTTTTTCCGGAAAATGTAATGCAGAGTAAAGATGATAGCCTCGGTATGGTATATGTCAGGAGTGGCACTCAGCACTCTGAAAATGCTCTCCTTAGCGATCCGCTCAGTGAGAAATGGGATCAGCTCCTCTGAGAGCTGCTTCACTGCTGCCACTGCAGACTATGTGTGTTCTCATCTTCAATGGTAGAGTCCATGCCCACTTCAGATGCTGAAAAACACAGTGCCCCTACAAAAGAGGGACTTGGAGAGGAGAGGGCATTAGGCCTGTGTCAGTCTTCTGTATTGTCCTCAGGCCTCGAGCTCACTGTTCTTTCCGTGTCTGTACTTAGCCATACAGTTTCCTGCCACAGAGACTGCATCACCAGATGGTGACGTCTGACGTCAGCACCTGGACTGGGGTCTGCCCTAGCCGACAGTCATTCCACACAATACACAATGTCCTTCACAAAGTGGGGAGGGATTTATTTTTAAACGTAGTGATGCTGGTGTAAAGGTATTCCCAGCCTTCCCAGCATATCTTGAATCTATCACCAAGGACTAATCTTAACAATTTGAAATTACTTTTCCCACTAACTTCTCATTTCTTCTATATTTTCTCTTTCATGTTTTTCTTATTAGTAGTGAATTTCATCTTTGATGTTAAAAAATGTGTTCAGGGTTTTCTTTGTTATTTTAGCCATCTTTAAATTTTTATACATCTTTTTCAGTTATCAAAAAATATTACTTGATATAGCTCCTAAGCAGTGGCTGAGGATAACAAGATGACTCCTTTTTTGCCTGCTGAACAAGAGTTTATAGTGACCTATCTCAATGAATTCCCCTCAAGAAATTATCTTATATAAGGATCTCTCCAACTGGTAGTCATATAGTCAAACATTTCCATTAAAATAACTCATATTAAGCTAGAGAAATAGCTCAGTCAGTAAAATGTTTGTAAGAGAACCTGAGTTCAACCTCAAAGCCCACCTTTGAAAAAGCCGGGCACTGCAGTGCACACCTATGATGCCACTGGGGGTGGGGAAGTGGGATTGAGTTCCTGGACCTCTCTGGCCAGGCTGGCCCAGCCTGTGAGAGACACTGCCTAACCAACCAACCAGGGGACAGCCTGTATGGTTGCCTCTTCCCAGAGCTATGGTGCGGCCTTGAGCGTGCGTGCATCTGTGTAAGGCACAGCTGCTCTCATTTTTCCTCCACCTACTCGGGAACAAAGGTCTCTTTGTTTTAATTTTTAACAGATTTTACATTTAGGTATCTGAAGCATAGAAAAAGAAAAGAAGGTGGTTTTATTTTCTTCTTCCCCCATCATCCCAGTGGGCTAAAGAAACTAGGAGAATCAATCCCCCTCCACAGTCCCAGCAACTCTGTGTGTAATAATATCAGGACAACTGGTACACGTGCATCAGAGCCTGTTTTGACCATGAGCATGTTGTACAGCAGTACACAGTGCTGCTGCCATGTAAAACCTCTCCCTTGGAGATTCTGTGAGCCACATGAAAAGAGGACAGGGACACAAGCCCACTCAACTCACCGCTCACCTTCCTTCCTTCAGAGCCAGCAAGATGAGAGGTGGCCACACTGAGGGCCCAGAAGAAGGTGGGAGACTCAGCAAGTTGGCTAGGGAAAGCTGGCTACCTAGCCCAAGCAGAGGCGGAGCCGTGTCCCGGGAGGTAACAAGCATGACAAGAGCACAGAATAGAGTAGAGTAGCTCCATGAAGGCAGCCGTCATTCAGGACAGGCATAGCTTGTTAAGAGCAAATCAGGACCTTACAGTCAAAGTGGAGCCAAATAACTCTTGTAACAGGAAAAAGTGTCCCTTTGACTTTAAAACAGAGTTTCAGCTGGAGAGTTCTGGACTAGAGCAGCACGTGCAGCAGCATTGGAGAGTGAGTCCTCACGTCCCGAGCCTGCCTCTTCTCTTTGCTGTAACCTGCTTCATCTTGACTCTACTTCATCGTGTTTGAGAATTCAGTTTTCTCATCTTTATAGTCTGGTCTTTGTGGGTGACTGTGCCTACAAATCTCATGTGAAGGCCCGTGGCATATAAAAGTAAAGGATTAGGGCATTCTACCTAAATGCACATGGATTTCAGCAATTTCTGATTTATTGTGGATTTTTTTTAATTAAGTGAAGACTTTAGAGTTAAAAGAACTTCGTAAAAGATGCTTTGTCAGCGTTCTATCCAAGTGTTTTACAGCCTTGCATTCTACCTCTTATGTATGCCTTCCCTGAGCAGATACATAGATACATTCACAAACCAGTGCGGCAGAGCTCAGAGGTAACTACTCTGTGTTTATATTTCACACTGTCAGATGCTACTACCACAAAGTGAGCCCTGTGTAAAATTAGCATTAACAATGAATTTATTTAAAACTATTTCCTAGAGTGATACTATTTCTTATGTATAACTGCCACTTTTTACTTTGGACATCTTTGACAGTGAATAAACAGATATTAATCAGTGTCCAGTAGTGACATTAGCTAGATCTTGTGGAATATCGTATGACTCATGGACAGTTTTAAAAGAGACCCTGAGTAGTATAATGCCATTTTTTAAATTATGTATTTGTGTGTTTGCAAGTAAATTCCATATATATGAGCCAGAGGACAACCTGAGGGGTTGGTTCCCTCATTCAACCTTGATGTGGGTTCTGGGAATCAAACTTCGGTTGCCAGGCCTCCGCCATCCCACCTGGCCCTGTCACTTTTCAAGTGTCTTATCTGAGGATCTGTTTCCTTGAACCCCTTGAGATTTGATGAGAGCCTTGAGCTGTTCATTTCTCTCCAGTATTTCAAGGACTTTTTGTAGGTTTTGGGAAGGCTTAATTGGATTCACGGGATTGTTTGAGGGCAGCAAATTATAGGTAAAGCCCTTCCCCCACAGTTCTTCCACCAGTTTAACTTTTCCAGCTACACAGTAGATTCTTTTGAGTACTTCAATGTCATGGGCACAGGCTTGGGGTACAGGTTGCCTTTAAAGGAATTCAGCCTTATGAGGGGAGGAACACTGTTGGGCTGTGAAGTAATAATAATCATAACTTTAAAAATGAAAACTTGGTTGCTGTGGAACATATCCTCACAGAAGCATGTATTCTATAGGGCCTCCCTAACTGAGGAGGCATCTGCCCACTTCCCTGCATGCAGAAAATTCTTCAAGAAAGGCAGATAAGAAATGGTCATCTAAGACAACTTGAGCCCCCTTTTTTTAAACTCCAAAAATATGCCAAGATAGCAAGCAAATTTATTTGCTTTTTCTTTCCTTATTCTTTGCTGACTTGAGCTAAGGGACAGACTTCACAGTAGAGCCCTGGCTGTTTTGGCTTTCCTACTGTCCCATAAATTTAGAGTGAAGAATGTGACAGCTTAAGTCACTTCCCTTGGCTAGATTCTTCACCCCACTGTCTCCTGCCTGCATCGAGCACATGGTAACCGTCACTTAACTCTTGTCTTTTGCAGTGGAACTGGAGCACAGGATCGACTTTGAACTCCGAGAAGGCCTTGTGGAAAGCCGCTATTGGTCGGCTGTCACGTCGCACACTGCCTATTGGTCATCTTTGGATGTCGCTCTTTTTCTTTTAACATTCATGTACAAACATGAGCATGATAATGAGGCCAAGCCCAGCCTAGATACGCTCTGAACTCTTGAAGGATATGAATGCCCAAAACCTTTCTGTTAAAAAATGTGTCAAGATACAGAGATTTCAAGGTTCCAGTTTTGTTAAGGGCAAGAAATATTTTAATTTAAAAGCACTTTATTTTATTTTTAAAAGAGAAAAAAAAACACATTCTCAGTTCTGAAGGAGTTATTTATGTTTCTGTCATTTTGATTATGAGTCTAGCAGAGCCCCTGCAGAGAATCACCAGAGTGGAAGTGTGGTGGGCTTAGGTAAACTGCAGGAAGGCAGCCATCACAATCCAGGGCTCCCGCGGAGCCTCTGTAGCCTATTAACCAGAAGACGTTACAGCGCTAACATGCCCAAAGTCCAGTACACTCTGCACAGACTACAAGGTGGCATCATGGTTTCTTGATTCTGTGAAGGCTTCTGTGTCCACAGTTCCTTTGAAAGAAGAATATAACAAATTTTAAATGTTCTAAATTTAACTTGTTTTGAAAAACTAATGCTAAAAGGCAGTATTTGAATTACTATACTAATAATTTATGATCTCTACTTATTTCAGCATATGAAACATTTTTAATGTTTCTTTTAAGCCACATTTACTTTGTATCATGTTGAGGCCCTTTTTTCTCAAAACTCCATCTTTGTACATGAGTAGGTGACCCTGTGGCATTACTTTTAGGGCTTTTTGTGTTTTTTTGTTTTGTTTTGTTTTTGTTTTTTGTTTTCTTTTTTTTTCATTAAAAACATGGTTTTACACAGTACTATTCAGTTATTTTTTTTAATTTTTTTTGTTATGTCACATATACTTCAGAGAAATTTAAATGTTTTCAGCACAGGGACTCCACATTTGTGTATATTACATTAGCTGTATTAGAAAATTAAGAAACAGCTTTGTGCTATAGAATATGATGACTTGAAATACATAAACGTCTGTGTGCCAAACAGCTAACACATGTGAAGGAACGAGATGCCAGTAACATTTACTATGTAAAGTGCTAAAGAAAGAAAGCATGGTGACTCGGGCACCGGAAATGGACGCTGAGGCACTGGGGGGTTCTGGGCTGTAGATGTTTCCACCATGCTTTTCATCTGTGATGTGCATCCAGCGATCTATGTATACGCTTCCTGAGGTAAGTTGGACACATTAACATTACCATGTCACATGTTCATACACTGAGGCACCAGTTTTTCAAGTGCCTTGCATTAGATTACACAGCAAATGGACCGAGTGTGGCTTAAAGCCAGACCATATTCTTTCCTGTGCTATTTAATGATGTCACTCATGAGTGACCTTAAGAAGCCTGCAAATGTTAGTAGGTTAGAAGATGGCCATGAAGCCCAGTGTTACCTAACAGATACAGTCTAGATTCTTACACTCAGAAGAGGAGTTAACATCAAGGGAACAGTAGCCAATCCTGCCGTAGCCAACAGTCATATCTGGTGGCTCTCCCTAGATTCCACTCAAGGTGCTGTCTTTCTTGTGTGTGAGGAACTTTGTAGCTTCTCTCAGTCACTGTCAGCTAGGAGCAGAGCTGGTCAGCCCACGTGTCCCTTGCTCTTTCCTGTGTAGGGTGGTAGAGCCTGTGGCTTTTTGTGGGTGTTACCCCTTGTCCTCAGTGCTGCCGCCTCCTCAGCTGCCATTGAATTTGTGCAACAGACAGCACTTCTTGCTAGTGTTTAAGAATTCCAAGGCTGTGTGACTCACAAAAAAAAAAAAAAAAAAAAAAAACCTTTGGTCTAAAGGTTGAATCTTAGCAGGGCTAAAGCATCATCTTTGAGTTTAGAGGTTCCTGTCAACTCAGGTCAGCTTCATAGCCTGTTTATTAGCAGGTCTCATGTAACTCTCAGGAAAATGAAGCCCGTGTTGTATGGCTGTCATTGAAGGTAGTTGAGAACATGTTGTTGAGTATCAACTGAAAGGAAAAGTTTGCCCCTGTAAGCAAAGGAGTATGTCCCCTTACTTTTCCTTACACCACAAAACAGTCAAATTTCACTGAGTTTTTGTCAGCACTTGGGAAGAGCAGCATTCAAACCACTCTGTCAATGAGAAGCAGATGTTCTGCACCTCTGGACAGCTGCTTTCAGTTCATGATCTCATCAATACCAGTGGCAGTTTTGGTCTTAGTGCTCTTGTCTCCCCGTTTCTGCATGTAATCATGGGATGTGCTTGTATACACTAAAGTAAGTCATATACAGAGTATGTGTAATTTTGATGATTTAGAAGCTAAGTCAGTTACCACGTAACAGTTGGCAATTTTGTTCCAGCAAATACTAAATCAACCCCCAAAAGTCCTGATTTTGATACTATTAAAATTCTGTTCTCTCCCTGTGTTCATAATGAGTCTCTTGAGTACTGATCACAGAAACTTTAACCCAATTAACTTGGATAAAGAGACTATTTGGAGTTAAATCTTATTTTTCCTTTAAGATTGGCCTTTCTGAGGCTTTTTTATTCCTAACTTTTTCAACAGTAATTGCACTTTTTGGTGTACTTTTCATATAATCCAATATAACTTATAGGACAGAATTACAAAATACTACTGGCTTTCTAAGTCTTGAGAATCTTAGACTTTATATCAGAAAGCTAGCTTTTATGCATACTTCAAAGATCTCAGACCCAGAAACTCTTTATCAGTCTGTTTCTCTGTGCTGTGCCCTTACTTGTAAAGCATTTAATGCCACTAGCAAATGGGGCATGGTGCTGTGCACCTGTAAGCCCAGCACATGGGAAGCCGAGGTGGAATGGTTGCTAAGAGCTTGAGGTTAGCCCTGGGCTTAAGGCTGGTTTAAGTGGGGGTAGGGTAGAGTTGGAACTCAACTGGTAGAGTATTTTCCAAACATTCATGAAGTGTATTGGATTTAGTCCTCATCAGCACATGAACCTGGAACATACCTGTAATCCCAGCGCTTGGGAGGTAAGAGGCAAGAAGAACCAGATTCAGTTGTCCTCTGCTACATGGTAACTTTGAAGCAAGCCTGTGTGGTGGTGTGCTACACACACACCAGATACACCAGTAGACAGCTAGGAAAGAAATCCTGGACCACTGACATGGCTAATCGGTCGAAGACAGCCAAGCCCAATGGCCTGAGTGCAATCTTCAGAACCCACATGATAGAAGACATCTGACTCCCGTAGACTGCCTTGTGTCCCTACACACTGTCATAGTATGCACCCGCCCTCCCTCATACAGAACACAAAGTGAATGCAGTCACTGCCACTCTGTCATTCCAGCCGTGACTCCTGAACCTGTTGAAGTGGAGTCAGACCAAACAGGTTTTATTGTCAGGCCAGTCAAAGGTAAGAAGTTGGCCTTCCAGTTCCTATTTCCTTGGATTCTAATAAGGCATCTAAGATTTTGAGAAAGTGACCAAAAGTCTTTAAATGTTTTTTAATCTTACACTAGTTATGGAAACAGGCCAAGATCTATGAGGTATTAATGGCCAAGGCAGAGCTGAAAAGATAATGTACCAATAGTGTCTAGAAAAAAAGAAACTACCAAACTGAGTATAGGACGCTATGGTCTGTTTATTCTCCCTTCACACCCCTACCCTGCTGCCACCCAGACCCCAGGCTTCTGACAAGAGCTGGGCTACTCAAGCTGAATTTGAACGGTGAAGCTCAAGTCACTCGTTCCCCCTGTGGTGCTGGTGCCCGCTAGGTGAACACAAGCCCTGTGGGAACCTTAGTCCTGCAGTAGTGGTGACCTGAGACGTCTGTTCTGCCTTGTTCCTCAGTGAATATTTTCAAAGAACACTCAAATTTCAGTTTGTGTAGATTTTGTATATTTCTTAGATTTATTTTGTATTTATAAGTATTTCTACCTGCGTGTTCAAAGTCACATGTATACCTGGTACCAACAGAGGTCAGAAGAGGGGCTGGTTTCCCAGAACTGGAGTTTACAGGTGGCTGTGAGCCACCATGTAAGAGCGCCCAGTGCTCTTAACTGCTTTGCCATCTCTCCAGCCCTGAAACTATAAATTTGAGAGTCTTCTGGTCCAACCCTGTGTCAGTTTCACATAGCAGTAAAGGTCAAGAAAATAGAGGCTACAGGCTTACCAGGAGACTGAACCCACAGTGACTGGGGAAGCAGTGTGGAACCCATGGAAAGACTAGTCAAGATTTAAAGCCAGAGCAGTAGTTTTCCCAAGCAAATAGTAGTATATTGTGCCAGAAAATAGTGAGACGTGGCAAATTTAGAAGTTCCTTCTAAATTTGTATAACGGTATACACCTTTAACCCCAGCATGAGGGAGGCAGAGACAGAATTTTGTGAGTTGAAAGCCAATCTTGTCTACATAAGAGAGTTCACGACCAAGTCTACACACTGAGACCTCATCTCAAAAAAAAAAAAAAAAAAAGCAGGGGGATGTAGGGAACTTGCTGTATTCGGAGTATTTCACATCAGCCAGGTGCTGTTGGAAGGTGTGCAAACTTGGCTAAAAAGACCCTAGTTTTTGGAGACCAGAAGAAGCCTTTTTGCTGACTATTGGTATGCTCCCCAAAATAGTCTCTTGGTATATTGGATAGCATGAACTCTTCCTCCGCCTTTGAACAGGGTGGGTTCATGGTTAGGATTCTCTCGTGTGTGTTTTCATTTATATGTGACAGTGCAGCTAACTTCCTCTCCACCCTGATATTCTCAGGGCATGTTGGGAAATATCCCATAAGATGATTACACCTGACCACAATTCTGTTGGAGTAAGATTTAAAAAAAAAAAAAAAAGTGTGCTCAGCCCAGGGAGGACTGGTTTCACAGCCTTCTGCTGGCACAAATGGCTACAGATTGTTAGGTGCTGTACATAGGATGACATAGAGTTTACATTGAGCCTGAGCATCTGTGCACATAGAACTATCTCCAGTTTACTTGGAATGTGTAATATAAAGGACATGCTTGCCAAACAGCTGTATTTAGGAAATAATGGGGAAGTGTAGCAGGAGGTATTAGAAAAGACGCATCCGACTGGCTCCTGGCTTAGCCGCCGCATTCCCACACTAATATCGGTGGCATCAGCGGTGGTCTCAGTGGCTCCGGCTGTCCCCCCTTACACACACACACACACACACACACTGGTGTAGCTGCTGCCTCCGCCCGCCTCCACAGCTCTTGGCCTGGCCCCTAGGCCAACCCTGTCGCCTCCATGGCTCTAGGCTAGCCCCATACAATAACAACCATCCTCACGGTTAAATATCACAATACCCATTAACCAGTAAAATCAAAGCTCTAGATGCTTATAGTTAACTAATGGATTTAATATATCAGTAAAATCTCAATACACAAGATGCCCACACAGTTTAAACATGTTATCCTAATTATCCTAACCTTTTGATATGCATAACTACCTGAGACAACTAAAGCCTCTTGGGTTCACGTGTGCTGCCATTTTCAGCCCTCTCTCTCCCCTCTGCGTGTCTCTCTGAGTCTCCCTACCACCCTTAGTTCCGCCTCCCTTTCCCTGTCCAATCACAGGCCTCCTGCTACAAGTAGATTGGACAGGGAAATTTCTGCCAAAGGAGGGCCTGTTAATGTTCAGTACTGGTGCATTGTTCTTTCCATTTCAGTCCTCACTTGCTTGAATCCACAGTACTGTAGGTGAGCAAGCATTGGTACCTCACCTTAGTGCTGTTTCCTGGAAGACATGGAATATCTAGGACTATGACTCAAACTTCCCTTGCTGATGACCACACCCTCTCCCATCATCTTGGCCTTTAAAAATATTAATCCCACAAAATTTCATGAAAGTCTAACCATGTTCTTTTGGTCCTTGGCCTGTCACAGTAAACACACTGTGCTCTACCGTGAGAATCTGAGAAGGGTCTCCTTTCCCTTGTTTCCCCATTGTTATCAGACAAGGCAGGTGAATTTTCTCAGATCCTTCGATTTTGTTGAAGTATCCACAATTCCTATTTCATCTCTGCAGTGATCATCTTGAAAGGCAAAAATCTTAAGACATTTGTGTTAGCATTGTCCCGTTCCAACTTTCTCAACCAGAATTTAATGTTTATGAAAATTGAAGGGTAGTAAAGTCTGTCTGCTCACAAGCTATGGCCACCAGAAACTTGCTACTGTGTTCCTTGGCATCAGATGATGAAGTCCACATATGACACATTCGAATCTCACAGTGCAGAACAGTCACAGCTTCAAAAAAATAATAGTTCTCGAGTCTAAAGCTAAACCCCAAAGCCTGGTTGGCTTTTGTCAATTTGACACAAACTGCTAAAGTCACTGGGAAGAGGGAACCTCAATTGAGAAAATGCCATCTGATTGGCCTACAGGCAAATCTGTGGGCTTGGTTGGTTGGTTGGTTGGTTGGTTGATTGATTGATTGATTGATTGATTGACTGATTTGGAAGGAAAGGCCTAGCCCATTGTAGATAGTGTCACCCCTGGGAAGGTGGTTTCAGGAGTTATTGAAAGGTAGATGAACTTGAGCATGAGCAAGCCAGTAAGCAGTGTTTCTCCATGGCCTCTACTTAAGATCCTACCTTGAGTCCCTGCCCTGAATTCCCTTCATGAGAGATTATATCTGTAGGATAAAATAAACTCTTTCTTCCCTAAGTTGCTTTTGTTCATGATGTTTATCATAGCAATAGAAACCTAAGACGGCTTTATAGCTTGTTTGAGATGGGTTCTATTAAGGAAAATTATGGAACTTATAGGATGTGAAGATGCTCCCTGGATGCCATGTACCTTCTGCCTAAATTATTGTTAATGATTTCTTCTCGCTCATGGTCTTGCCTCACCTGTCATTAACTTCTCCTGCTCAGGTACTTAGTATTTAGAGCCTGTAGTGTCTCCATCACAGTGGAAATAGAAAGTGAGCGATTAGAAAACCGCCAGCCATCTCTGTTCTCTACTTGGGAAGTCTACTTCATGAATTTGGCAACATGCTCAATCTGCAACAAACCTAGTGAGATCATCAGGCTGACCCACTATCTCATTCATGGCTCAATTTTAGCTGTTTTCTAGCCAAATTGTGGAGCCTTGTCTTTGCCTTCATGATTAAATATTCCATATGCCTTTAATTAACCTAGAACTTGCTCCCAAGGTTTTGCCTTGGCCTTTGTCCTGCTTCTTGGTTGTACTAAACAAGGGAGGCATTCATTAAACACTACACTATCCACATTCTTGTGTATTTTCAAGTTTAGAACACAGGGTCTTTTGTTGCAAGAGAAAAGGGGGGGTTAAAGAATGTTCTTAAGCATTCGATAGCAGAAGACACATTACCTTGGAATGTCTCCCACACTGCTATACATTTTTAAAGTTCCAATTAGCTCTTCACTGCACATGTTCCTGAGAAAGTGTTCTGGAACAAGATGATGAATACAATAATTGTT